CAGATATAGCTGAATATGAGATTCATTATTCATATAGAGATATAGTTATCCACTAATGAAGAGACAATAGCCAAAAATAAGAGAGAGAGAGAGAGAGAGAGAGAGAGAGATCGATGACGATAAATATTTGTCATTAAATAAAACAAGACAATGCAATACAATAATAAATGAATAAATAATTTTCTTTTACAAACTATAAGAATTTGTGATTTTGTATTGTTTTTTTGTTGTTCTGGAAATCCATTTGATTTAATTAATTTGGACAGTAATTCTGTGCAAAACTATCTAGCCTATGTTTTCTATTGACTGGAATAAAAGTTCTTAATAAACTAAACAATTTACATAAATCTTATTATTAATAATAATAACATTAATTATACGCATGTCTATTATTTGTTAAAATGACAAAACAAATTAACAAAGTTGCAACAGATTTACTAAATATAATTTATTGTTTAATTTACTAATCTAGGTCCACCTGTCGAAGTTGGCGTGACCATGTATATAATTAGCATTAGCTCTATATCGGCTGTAAATATGGTAAGCAATGCACTATTAATACCATACATGTTTAACAACTCATCACCAAATGTACCAAGCTCACATTCTAACCTACCATATATTGTTTATGAAACAGGACTTTACGTCAGATTTCTATTTCCGCCAGTCGTGGCGCGACTCGCGGCTGGCATTCATGAAAAGGCCGGGCATTGACGCCCTGTTCGTGGGGGCGGAGGTGTCGGACAAGATATGGGTGCCTGATACTTTTTTTGCCAATGAAAAGTCCGCTCAGTTCCATAGGGCCACCACTGAAAACACGTTTATCCGCATTAAATCCAATGGCGAAGTGTTACGCTCAATTAGGTTTGTATGTTAACCCCCCCCCCCGAACCCTCACCCCAATCAACCATAACCACACCAACTACTGTCGTGTAGTAAGGTTTGGTGGTTGATGTGATTTATACAGAATTATGATTTATTAATCACCTTGATAATTGTTTTAACTTGTTACACTGAATAGATTAACCATCACATCCTCCTGTCCAATGAATTTACAATACTTTCCAATGGATCGCCAGAGTTGTACGATCGAGGTAGAAAGCTGTGAGTAAATATATCATTATATTAATGCAATATGTTATTTGATTTTTTATCGAGTTGATCTATTTAATTATTTATGCGCATATAATATTGTTTTTATATATAATTCATATGCATTATGTTTTACTCGCGATATAAATGTTTTACAATGTTATCGAGAAAAGTGTTATACCGTATAACTTATACGATACGAAACTTTTGTTTTGCCATTTATTATGAAATAGATTGAATAGAAATAATAATAACTTGTTTATGTGCTGACCGGTTCAATATTACATCTCAATAATTTCTATGTATAGAAATGCGTTCAAATCAATGTTTAGCTCATTATTGTGCACTCATATACTGTACAGTATAATGAAGCACCGGATGAGAGATTACAAACAAAATATATTTTAGCCATAAAAACGGGTTTCTTGCAAAATATCCTCAAAAATAGATATCTTTCTATACATTATTAAAGATAGAGTTGTCTCTCAATTGCATTCAACAAAATGCAAAAAAAAACTACTGTTATATTATTGAGACTTATTTTGCATTTCCCTAATGTTTGGCATATTTTATTGACAGCAAATACACATATTATATATTCACTGCATATTTGTATCCATATAAAAATAGGAGCATGGTTTAAATTATTCGCCAACCACTTTGCCATCAGCGGCGTAACGAGTAATCGATATAAAAGCAATTTTAAATCATTTTCCAGCGTTTATTTCAAAATATCTTGATACTATTTAGATAGATATCTAGTTAATATAATTATACGTTTGTTTTCAATGTACATATAATGCTCGCATACATGTTTGTAATAAATTTTAATGCTAATGGCATACGACAACAGATATACGACAACATTGTTTAGGCCATGACTTTTTATTTAGATGTATTAGCACAACATATCTCTCCAATCGTAAAGTTTATTGTGAATGCAATATAAGAGTCGAATTAATCTAAATATAAACCGTTTGATTCAAACATTCATCTCAAAGGATTAATTACATTTCGTTTGAGAGAGAGAGAGCATTATATGTACATTGAAAACAAACGTATAATTATATTAACTAGATATCATGTCTAACAAATATATTGCCAGATATAGCTGAATATGAGATTCATTATTCATATAGAGATATAGTTATCCACTAATGAAGAGACAATAGCCAAAAATAAGAGAGAGAGAGAGAGAGAGAGAGTGAGTAAAAGGATAAGGTATCCACTAATTGTCAAACACTTTGTACACATACTATAAAAGTCAATATAAAGTGAAAGTTAAGCCGATTGTGATTATACTGAATATATAGATATATTCTGTGTATATATTCTGCTGTCTATAATCTGTGTGTATATATTGGCGATAGAGTAGCCATATATTAAACATATCATTCACTGACTCTTAACAAACATTTATAACAAACACAAAACTCTCGACGACTAAAGAGAAGATAGACTTCTCTCTACGGGAGTGAGCGATGAAAGTAAGCCATCAATTGTATTAAATACAAAGTCGATGAAAATTTTATAAATCACTTCATATGAGAATTTAGTTAATATTAGGTGTTATTGAGTACTACGAGTATTGTCTGTGAGTGTGTTTGCGGTCATGTCTAACAAATATATTGCCAGATATAGCTGAATATGAGATTCATTATTCATATAGAGATATAGTTATCCACTAATGAAGAGACAATAGCCAAAAATAAGAGAGAGAGAGAGAGAGAGAGAGAGAGAGATGTATGATTTAATTAAATCTATGATCTCTCATCCGGTGCTTCATTATACTGTACAGTATATGAGTGCACAATAATGAGCTAAACATTGATTTGAACGCATTTCTATACATAGAAATTATTGAGATGTAATATTGAACCGGTCAGCACATACTCATAAACAAGTTATTATTATTTCTATTCAATCTATTTCATAATAAATGGCAAAACAAAAGTTTCGTATCGTATAAGTTATAACACTTTTCTCGATAACATTGTAAAACATTTATATCGCGAGTAAAACATAGTGCATATGAATTATATATAAAAACAATATTATATGCGCATAAATAATTAAATAGATCAACTCGATAAAAAATCAAATAACATATTGTAATAAAATAATGATAGATTTACTCACAGCTTTCGACCTCGATCGTACAACTCTGGCGATCCATTGGAAAGTATTGTAAATTCATTGGACAGGAGGATGTGATGGTTAATCTATTCAGTTTAACAAGTTTAAACAATTATCAAGGTGATGAATAAACCATAATTCTGTATAAATCACACCAACCCACCCAACCTTACTACACAACAATGTTGGCGTATTGATGATGGTTGATTGGGGTGAGGGTGTGCGGGGGGGGGGGTAATATACAAACCTAATTGAGCGTAACACTTCGCCATTGGATTTAATGCGGATAAACGTGTTTTCAGTGGTGGCCCTATGGAACTGAGCGGACTTTTCATTGGCGAAAAAAGTATCAGGCACCCATATCTTGTCCGACACCTCCGCCCCCACGAACAGGGCGTCAATGCCCGGCCTTTTCATGAATGCCAGCCGCGAGTCGCGCCACGACTGGCGGAAATAGAAATCTGACGTAAAGTCCTGTTTAATAAACAATATATGGTAGGTTAGAATGTGTGCTTGGTACATTTGGTGATGAGTTGTTGGTGATAGCATGTATGGTATTAATAATGCATTGCTTACCATATTTACAGCCGATATAGAGCTAATGCTAATTATATACATGGTCACGCCAACTTCGACAGGTGGACCTAGATTAGTAAATTAAATAATAAATTATATTTAGTTAATATGTTGTAACTTGTTAATTTGTTTTGTTATTTTAACAAATAATATACATGCGTATAATTAATGTTATTATTATTAATAATAAGATTACTGTAGATTGTTTAGTTTATTGAGAACTTTTATTCCAGTCAATAGAAAACTTAGGCTAGATAGTTTTGCACAGAATTACTGTCCAAATTAATTAAATCAAATGGATTTCCAGAACAACAAAAAACAATAAAAAACTCACAAATTCTTATAGTTTGTGAAAGAAAATTATTTATTCATTTATTATTGTATTGCATTGTCTTGTTTTATTTAATGGCAAATATTTATCGTCATCGATCTCTCTCTCTCTCTCTCTCTCTCTCTCTCTCTCTCTCTCGCACTTTCACTAACTTTTGTCCATAAAATAATACATAAGTAAATAGTAGTTTAGATTTATTATACATAAAACTATCCGCGAGTTAACTAGTAGTTAGTAGTAGTGGCGGAGGAATGTATGCAAAGGTCAGGCAAAAGTCAAACGATCGGTACATCAAGAATATAAGACCAGATTTTATCGATCAATGCTTTTATCGCACAGAATATTCTGTATGTGTTTTGTGTGTATATAAAGAGACAGAGAGACGACTATTTCAGTGATATATAAATACACTGAAATTTTTTGTATTTAACACATTAAAGCACTTGAAACGAGCGTTTATTGTCGTATTGTTAGTGTTATTATTATTATTACCCATTATAATGACATTACAACGCTTTTATATACATTTTGCACTTACAATACCGGCGCCCAATTAT